CTTTGTAGGCAATGAGATGAGTTCTGCAGAAGAAACTGGTATGGGAGTGCAATTGGATGCTGACCTCAATAATCCGGGGACATCAGCTTGTGCTACTGCTATTCAGACTTCGTATTGCTCTGGGGTTGAGTGTTCGGGCCAAGAATCGGACAAAACCTTATGCAGTGGACATGATTTTGAAATGTCGGATGTTGGCCTTTCTTTTGATATTCTTAGCCCAGCTGAGGGTTCCTCAGTTGTGCAGTGCAATGACCCCATTAGATTGAGAGGCTTGACCACACTTGACATGGTTGGCAAGGAGTTTGATTCTCTTAAAAAAGCTGAGTTATTCTACTGCACATACTCAAAAGTTGTCGGGTTTAGTGTAAGGAAAGATGATTTGCGCCGTAACAAGTATGGTGCAACTATCTTGAGAAGGTGGGTTTGTTCAAAGCAAGGCCAACGTCCTAAGAAGTGGCTGGAAAAACGTGACCGTATACGGGAACCTAGAGCATTGACACGAGTAGGGTGTCGTGCATCTTTTCGTGTTAATTACCATCGTGAAACATCCAAATGGGTTGTTAAGGAATTTGTTACAGAACATACTCATGAATTGCCATCTGCATGTGAGATTCAGGGTCTTCGGTCTAATTGTGGCATCCAAGATACAAATGTGGCTAAAGCCAAACCAATACGTAGTGTGAGTGCCAAATCAGGTCAAGTAGTGGATTATATGATAGACCAATCAGGGAGTTGTACGAATATTGGGTTAGTTAGGGAAGATTTACAAAATAAAATTGATGTTGCCTGTCAGTCTGACATAACAGATGCTGACTCGGAAACTGTTATTGCCTACTTATTTGGCAAAGCTGACATGGATCCAGGTTTTTTTTGTAAATACACAGTGGACGAGAATAAAAGGTTGGGGAACTTGTTTTGGACAGACTCTATAAGTCGGTTTGATTACAGTTGTTTTGGGGATGTTTTAGCATTTGATTCCACCTACAAGATTAATGCATACCAAAAGCCACTTGTTATATTGGTTGGGACAAATCACCACCACAGAACAACTGTGTTTGGTTTCGGGTTGCTAAAGGATGAAACGTTGGACACATACACTTGGCTACTAGAGACCTTCCTGTCTGCAATGAACAACAAGAAACCATTGTCAATAATAACTGATTGTGATAAGGTTATCCGCCAGGCAATCAAGAAAATTCTACCTGAGTCTACCCATCGGTTTTGTAGCTGGCATGTTGAGAGGAATGCTCAGGAAAACGTGCAGGATGAGCAGTTTATAGAGTCATTTAAGGATTGTATGTTGAACCATATGACACCTGAAGAATTTGAACAACAGTGGATGACATTGGTTGAAAAGTTTGGTTTGCAGGATAATGACTGGGTCAACAAGATGTACAAAAAGCGTGACCTATGGGCAGAATCCTTCTTACGAGGGCAGTTCTTTGCTGGGATGCATTGCAGCCAACTTTGTCAGAGTATGAACTCATACCTGAACTGTTTTTTGCAGTCTCGGTTGAAGATGTTTGAATTTGTCCGTCAAATTGATAAGGCAGTATCATGGATACGCTACAATGAAGCAAAGGATGACTTTGAGTCGAGCTCTATTCCGGTCTTGAGTACCCACCTTGAACGTTTGGAAAAACATGCTGTGCAGATTTATACCCGAAATGTCTTCTACATGGTCCGCAGCGAGATCCAAGATGAGACTTTGTTGATTGTATCTGGTTGTGCCAATGAGGTAGATAGACGTGTGTATACACTGACTAAATTCAGAAATGCTCACATGAGATGGATAGTGGTTTACTGGAGAAAAGATCATCGTATACAATGCTCCTGCAAGGGATTTGAGACAGTTGGACTACCATGTAGCCATTCTTTTTCTGTCATGAAAGCCGAGCACCTACTCAGTATACCTGACAACCTAATTCTAAGGAGGTGGACCAAAGATGCCAAGGACAGCAAAGACTTAGCTGTCAACTCCTGTCAAAGCCCAAATGATTTTATAGAAATGTTGCGGTTTGCCGCATTGACTGCTGACTGCCGTAAATTATGTTTTTATGCATCCAAGACTACTGAAGGGTATAGAAAGGCAAAAATGGAGATATATCAACTAACACGGCGCATGGAGGAGTCTAGTAAAATCAAGGGTGGCAGCATCTCATCGGTGGGATTTTCAGAGAGGAGGTCCAGTATTGTTAGTGATCCTGCAAGAAAACCAAGGACTGAAATTCACAATTGATGCTTGCTTCTGGCGTTAATCGGATTTTTTCTTTTTTATTTTTTAGGTTTGATCTCTTCTTTTGGCGAATCTTTGAGATCAATCCTATGTGTTTATAAATTTATAAATCTATGTTTTACTTCTACTTAAGAGCCAGTATAAATTGACACTGTACAAATATGAAATCATAATCCAGCTTTTGGTTAATGAACCTGTTATCTTTCGCTGATTGCATTACATATTTACCTTACTGTTGGGAATTGTTATTGAAATCCCAACTGAACCTATAGCAAGAAATGAAGCTCAGAATCGAGAAAGGGAGGAGGCGATCTGAGAATTGAGAGAAGGAAAGAAAGATATTAATTCCAGTTTGTTGCTTAAACTGTGGACAGGTAACTTTTGTCTCAGAGTATATTGATTTAATAATATTCTAATCTTTTGATTTCAAATTGTTTTAGGTTTTAAATATGTTTTTAGGTCACTGGAAACAAGTGGGATACACACCTTCACATTCTCCAGGCAAACTAGATTGGAGGGTGAGAAATTAATTTGATTTCTTCTTTAACGCTTCCATGCTAATTAATTTTGCAATTTCGTTCCACTATTAAAACTGTTTCTCATGGTAGATTTTTATAGTGATGAAACATCAGGGAGTTAAAGTGTGTTGTTAATAAATCTTGTACATCGTTAATTGTTACTTTTGTAAAGAAAATTTGGTGAATAATTACTCTTTCTTGTTTCTTCCGGCATGCCTTATTTCTATTAACTTGGAATGTTTTCAGGATACTTGGTTTCTGCTTGGAATGCCTTGGATCCAAAGTTGAACATATAATTATGTGATGGGCATCTTTGTTAGCATTGTTCAAGTGGTTTATTCGTCTTGTTAGGAATAACAAATTTTGTGCCGCATTGCAATGAATGTACACTGCTTCTTTTTGTAATTAGCATTACTGTTTACAGTTTCTTCACCCAATTGTCAATGAACCATAGAACAAGCACACGAATATTTGATAATAATCGTGTCTAAAATGTGCAGAGATTATATGTATAATAGGAGTTCCCTAGCTACTGCTATGTTAGATATGGATGAATGTTCATCTTTGAACTCAAGTAATGTTGTCTGATGCATATATAACAGTAAAGTCATCTGAAGCATGTATCTCGTAGCTTAATAACTTGTAACTTTATGCATAGAGCCACTTGATGTAATGGGTTTGGTACATTTTACTGTAGGTGAACGCTCATGAGTCGTGGACCTCCCTTGAAGGATTGAGTGATGTTGATTCATGATTGGGTTAGGAAGTTGGATCGGATGATATAGGACCAAATTAAGATATGGTTGGTAAATATTTAATCTGCAATTGATATGAGAAATTAGTGGGAAATTGTTGTTGAGCCATCTGTCCCAATCCAATCATTCTGTTATCACACCGACACCGCATTTTTCTTCTAGTTATGCCCAGAAATTATCAACTTGAAAATACTATACAGGATTCTATTTTTCATTTTCAATCAAGTTAAAACTAATCACAGCATAATTGCAAGCAAAACAAGTATTAAAAAGGGCTACAAACACTAACGTATTATTCAAAGACTTAAAAAACAGAAACAATTTCAATCCATTCCAGAGCTGGATAAGAAATGGGCAGAGCAGAACATGACCCAAGTCCATATGTCTAGTATTAGCATTGTTGCAAGAAAACAAAGTGCCACGTGGTAAGGTAAACCCATATTTCCAGCTCTTCTGGAATGGACAACACTCTGTATTTATTTACATCTTCAATGATGCCAATTGCCATTCCATATATAAAATGTGCTAAAAAAAGTTAAAACTGTAAACACCTTAATAATACCAAAATAAACATATCCCATAACTAGACAAAATCATAATTTATTTGATATTTTTATTTTTAATTTCGACTTTCTCCATGCAATTATCACTTTTCTTCCATAATTGACTTTATTCATCATTTTTCTTTTTCTCAATAAACTCATTTTTCTTCATTTTACCAATTTAGTTGAATTTGATTGATCTATCCTCTGCTTTTGCTTGTTGCACATGGTTTGTCTTGTTTTATGCATTACTCTTTTGCTCTTCTTTCCCATTTCTTTTTTTAATTTTGTAAGAAGTGATGAAAAAACTAATAATTAAATATTGTATTCTTTTATATAGGTGTACATAATGTCACAATTGAGAGGACAAGAGAGGTAATTTGAAAAAAAATTAAAGTATACTCGAGAGATATCTTTGAGAAGGCAAAAGAGACAATTGAAAAATCTGAGTATGCTCAAGAGATATCTTTAAATGAATTCAATTGTGTCCTTTTTTTTTTAATTGTGAATACATCACCTATTTATACAAAAGTTTAGGTATATAATAAGGAAGCAAAATAATGTAATTATACTCAATCAGGAAATTGATTAATTAATTGATTTTGGGTGATTTGCTATAATAATGATATTTATATTTTATCACATAGTAATGGTTTTTAATTTTCATTTGACTTTCCATTTGCACAGGAGTATTAAGTTTAAGTAATGCAACTTGTTAGTTGAAGAGTTATAATATAACTGAATTTAATTTATGCTAAATAAGTTTACATCTTATAATGAGAGAATCTTATTAAAATAGGGAAATAAGAGGTGAACCAAATAATTTGTCAAAATCTTAGAAGCACAAGTATAGTAATATTACTTGGTGTGAGACCGACAAAAACTGAGAACCCATTTTAGTAATTCCAAGGAAATGGAGGGCTACATAATACGTACTATACAACACAGCACATGTCCTTTTATTATCACCAGAGTTTAACTGTTCTTCTCTGTCATTCCACATACCCCAAGAAAAAAGATAATGGAACACCACAGAAGCCTACCATTAATCTTCCTCTTCATCTCTCTTCTCTCCCTTTTAGGATCGGCTCAGGCTTACAAGAACTACACCGTTGGTGACTCGTTGGGCTGGTACGACAACACTGAAAAGTCTAATGTCAATTATCAGAAATGGGCTGATGCCAAGAACTTCAGTCTCGGAGATTTCCTCAGTAAGTTTGACTGCTTTTATATGAGTTTCTTTTTTCGGTCAAGCTGTTAATTTGTGTTGAACGAAATTAAGTAATAGTCAGATCTTTTGGGATATATTGATTGTTTCTGAAAGTAATTCAAATACTGACCCAGATCTTTTAGCTCTCTTTTGATCTTCTGAATTTTTAAGAAGCCAGATTACTTCCATGTTGAATGTGTGTGTGCTGCGTTCAATAGCTCAAATTCTGGTCAATCTATTGGGATTAGTTTGTAATTAAATTAGTGTAGTTGATTGTGTGGAAGTAGTGAGGATAAGAATATCTTTTTAGAAATGAGATATGATGTTTCGTTCCAGCAAATCATGTGATTACCATGAAATTGAGTGCTCAATTAAACTAAAGTTTACGTACTGCTACTCCAAGGCTAATATTTTACCAGTGTATGTAAAACCTAACCTAGCTTTAATTCCATTATACCTATTGAAAGAAATTAAAAAGATACTTGGTGCATTGGTTTGTCTTCCCATGTGCCATAAAAGGATGATTGCTGCATTCTTTACAACGCGGTTAAGTAGTGGGCACTACCCAACTGTTTAGAAATTTTTATTTATTAATAATTGATCATTAATCTATTATTCCACCATGTGAAATTTCATCCCTTCACCATTTCATTTTCACGTTACATCACATGCACTAATTATCATTTACTCACAATTCTGCTGTTTTCTTTTGTTAATGCAGTTTTCAACACTGATACAAACCATTCGGTTGTGCAAACATACAATTTCACCACATACAAGCTTTGTGACTATGACGATGCCCTAGACAGTGACACCAAAATATGGTCGGCCGCCGACCCTTCGAACACGGCAACAGTTGCCGTGACAGTACCGGTACCTCTACTGAAAGAAGGAACCACTTATTTCTTCTCCAGCGATTATGATGGAGATCAATGCAACAACGGGCAACATTTTAAGATATATGTAAGTCATGGAAAAGGGTTGCCGGATAGTTTGAAAAGTCCGTCGGAACAAGCCCCAGCTCCCAATAGTCCTGATTATAATAACGATGAGTCAGCTCCTGATATAGTTGTACCTTCCAATTTCAATAATCCTCAAGGTGGTGATCATAAAAATGATGATGATAATGTTAAGAAGGCATCTGGGTCTGCTTCTTTATATGTTAATAGTATTATGGTTTTGTTTGCATACTTTTGTGAGTTACTATGATAGGTTTGTTTTTTTATTTTTATTTTTATTTTTTTAAATTTAATTATTATTATTATTTGGTCTGTATTGTATGATTATTATTAGATATTCAATGTTCTATTATATTGTATACTATATATTTTCATTGTTTATTAAATCTTGAGGAATTTATTTGGCTTGGCACGTACGCAAAGAGCAAAAGAAAAAGAGAATATGTAATCAGAAGTTTCACAGATTACAAAGGGAGTAGTCAATGATTTATTAAAGATTGATTAGTGACATTAATTTAACGGACGCAAGTAATACTATATTTTCAAATTCTCTCTAACAAATAATATGAAAAGAGCATTAAGTATTATAAATATTTGAAAGATAATAGATTTCTGCATTAAAAAAATTTAATTTGATAAATATAATAATTTCTACTTTTAGGCTTAATAAGTCATTTCTAAATAGATAAATAAACAGTAAAGCTTCTCTATAATGATACTCTATATAGAAATAAATTCTACATAGTAATAAAAAATTCTAGTCTGAATTTGAGATAGTTATAAATAAGAATAAAATCTACATTGTAATAAGTTATAACTTTTCTAATTCTTGCCTTAAGAAAAGTTGTCTCTACATAGTAATAATTATCTGTATATTACAAAAAAATATATGTCAAGTAAAATTAAAGGTTTAAAATGAAATAAAATATTTATTTAAAATTGTTTGGGACAATGATTTATGCTTTAGAGTTGTTATCACATCTTTTACCTTACGAGTACGTAATAGCTCGTTAGCATAGATACCTTCTTGTTGAAGCCAAAATATTTTTTAGTTTCTCAAGCATGTTTAAAGCTTCATGACACAAGATTTTTTGTATTTCCGTACCATTATCCTTAGGATTATTTCTTTTTTCTTCTTATCTAATTGCAACAATGATTTCTCATTTGGTTAAAGCATACACAATTTGTTGCTCGTTTGGATAATCGAAGAAGACATTAATATTCATTCGATTAGTGTAGTGAAGTTGTCGAATCTGAACACTCAATTCTATAGTGACTCTTTTATTCTCCTAATCCACTTCATTTGTAACTTACAATTCATTGACATTAGTGATCCTAATTTTGCAACGCTTAAAACCATTGACAATTGTCTGTGGCTTCACATTAATTGACCATGCATCAGCTGCATTTGCAATTCTATCAATGACACTTATTTTTGCTGGTTTTAAGAAACATTCTTTTATCCGTTTCAAAAGTAAGCAATTGAAGTGCTGAATTGAAATCTTAATATTACTAAAATATGAATTGAAATCCTAATACTGTACTACTAAAACATGAATTATAAAATAAGAAATCAAAACTATAATTTTTATAACTATACCTCCATTAAGTTATAACCTCCTTATAGTAATAAAATTAGTTCGTTTCACCATTATGACTATAGAGAGATTTTACTGTATATACAATACAAAAATAATATATCATTTCTTAAACAAAATGGAACATTTACCATGCCAAGCCCACAATCCAAATAAGTCCAACGATATCAAGTTTTATACTTTTAATGGGCCTAGAAAAATCGGCCTGCTACATTTCATGTGAAAATATATTTTCTTAAATTACAAAGGGACCCATCAAACATAATTATTTTGCCGCATTCCCCACAAGACACAAGTATATAATAGTGAGAGGGGAGACGGTGTTGCTTCTTGAATTTTGATTTTGCAGTTAGGTCTAGTTATCTTGTGGGAAAAGACATGGCGGAATCATCTTCAACTTCAACTGAAGAATTGCTGGACCGAATGTTGACGAGATTGGCTCTCTGCGACGATTCCAATCTCGAAGCTTTGATCTCCAAGCTCCTCCCTCTCACTATCTCTTCTCTCTCCTCTTCTCCCTCTAATTCCCTCCGCAATAAGGCAATTCATTTTACTTTATTTTATTAACCATCCATTTAGGAATACCATACCTAACTTCTGTTGTTAAATGCTTACTATCCTGTGCTATTACAATCATTACAATATTTCAGTACTTATGCTTTTTGAAATGACAGGCTCTTGAGATATTGAGTCATGTGAACAAGAGAGTAAAGCATCAGCCTGAGATTCGTTTGCCGTTGGCTGAGTTATGGAAAATGTATACAGAACCTAATGCTGCTCCAATGGTTAAGAACTTCTGTATTGTGTATATTGAGATGGCATTCGAGCGTGCTCATTTAAAGGTTCGCTTCTTCGTCTCTCTGGCGTTTTAGGGAACTGGGTTGGAAATTAAAGCTTGCTTGTGTTGCAGGAAAAGGAAGATATGGCACCTGAGCTTGTGAGAAGCATTTCAAAGCTTCCTCAACAACACCAAGATATTATCCTCAGAATTGCTGTTAGGGTATGTCTTGCTTTATCTACTACACCATTTAATTCTGTGTCCATAGTTATCAATCATGGATGGTTTTTTGAACTTTGTTACTATTAGTACTGAGCCTGACTGTGGTAGAATATGAATTTGAATATTAATGTGTTAAACGGAAGGAGGTTTCTACCTTTTTGTAACTACGAGGATTGTTTTAGGTCTTTGAGGGAATTTATTCAGGTGCCATTGTGAATTGTATTGTGGGTCTCGACATAGATTGTGTAAGATCCTGGTTGATTTGAATTTTGAATTACAGTAAGGATAGAAGTTGGTATTAAGCTACTGTTTGGAGGAAATCTGGTCTTCGGTTTGGAAACCTGGAAGACCATTTGGTGAGATGGTGCTTGTTTTATTATCTGTTTTTCCATTTGGCTAATGGGAGAAAATATTGTTTTACTATGATGTTTGGTTTACAGTTCTCAGATATGTATTTGATGATAATTGGAATTACAAGATTTCTATTGACTCCTTGCATTAGATGGTCATTTGGGGTGTTGCATAGGAATTTAAGGTTTTTAGCAAAATAAGTTGGTAGTTGAAAATACCTATATTCATCGTTAGTCATGCTTTATGTGGTCAAAGATGCTAGTCATGGGGCTCAATTTGTTTTGCTTGGGGTCTAAGTAATCCTTTTTTAGTAACAAAGTCCTCTATGGCGGCAGCTTTGGGTTAGATTCTAATGATAGAGAATATACTGAACAGGGTGATATTTATAGTTAGCTTGTGTATGCATAAAAGATGTGGCTAAACAGTGAACTGTTTACTTTCCAATTATTGTTCGATCAAGTGTTGTCTTCTGTTTTGAGGTCATATCAAGCCCAAATGGAGATGCCTTAATTTGAGGTAGAGGCAGAGAATGGAGAAGAGAGAAAGAAAGTGGTTATGAATTGCATATCTTATTTATTTGTCTCAATGGTAACAAGTAGCTTATCTTGACATTATTTATCTATTATTTTTTTTTTCCAGACCCAAAGAAATTGGCAGATCAAGTTAATAATATAAAGAGTAATCTTTCTTTAGGTAGGGAGCCAGAGGCAGCAAAATCTAAGGCTATAGAATCTAGTATCATCTCATATCAAACAAAAAGCAACCACAATTTCAGAAAATTAATCCAAGAGTCCTTCCCAGTCTAGATGGATGGAGAAGAACACAGTATTTTTAGAGTAAACACCTAAGGGTTGCTAGTAATCAAACTTCGCCCCACAAAAAAGACTAATGACTACTTAATCTCCTTCGGAAATTCTTCTTTTTTGTTTTTGCCAAATCACCAAAGTAGTCAAAACTGCACATTTTCACAACATTTATGCTTCCTTGCCATTACACAAAAGATTTTCTACTTTATCTCCTTAATAAATCCTTCTATTTGTTTTTTCTTTTTGCAAATTAAAGAATTAAAGTATAATTTGCAAATCTGTGGTGAGCAAAGTCTCCTAATTCTTTTATCCTCTCTTCATTAATTGAAACATTCTCCGCCAGTGCGGAAACCTTTGAAAGTACTGAAATCCTCTCTGTGAAGTTCTTCAAGAGTTGAATTGCAAGTAAATCAATAGTATAGCCTTAGTATCCTTGAATTGCCTACATACAAAAACATTTATTACTTCTAATTACAAAAACTTAGAACTACATGGATATTAGCTGCAGTTGTTTTCCCATGGACCTGTCAAATGATACTTATGAGTTCTTTTGGACTCTTTTTATAAGGGATTTTATAGCCATTTGTGCTTATTAACTATTACTTCGTTACAGGTGATAGGTGAATGCCATGCAAGTGGAATTGATGATGAAGTTGCTGCAAAGTATAGATTAATAAGTGGTTTGCAGGACAGGGAACAGTTTATTGAAATTTGCCTCCATTCGGTTTTGTATCAAATGCCTTCTCAAGGGTCTGGAACTAAGTTTATTGCTAGAGTCTTATAATCTTTGAATCTATTTGACATTTCCGAACTTAGAGATATATTCTTTGCAGAGGGGGAAGCCCGCCAGGGCTATCAGTTGCTCAAGCCAATCGTGTTATTGGAAAGCACCCATTGAAGAAGGATGTGATTTTAACAATAAAGGTGAAACTTAAACATTATAATCTTACATAGAAATAAAAAAAAAAAAAAAAATTATGATCTTTATATTTTTTTCTCCTTTAAGTAGTTAGGGATCCTGAATGTCATTGAAGCTATGGAGATGGAGCCTGAACTCGTTTATCCTTTGTATTTGTCAGCTTCTGTAGATTGGTATGTGTATTACCTTTTAATGTAGTATTCGAAGAAAATTAATTTTGTTTCTCAGTTCTTTATTCTTGTGCTTGAGATTGGAAACTATTTTTTTCGTTTGATGATTTCTTGAATCAAGCCAAGAGCCTGTTGTTAGAAGAGGAGAAGAACTTTTGAAGAAGAAGGCTTTTGCTGCAAATTTAGATGATCAGAAATTGATAAACAAACTGTTTTTACTTTTTAATGGTATGAATGCAGAATTATATTGCTAATTTCTATTAAGAAACTGAATACTGTTAGATTTCAAATGTCAAGCGTAGAACTGTTGATTTGTTATATTTTTCTTATTATCCATCATATGTGTTCTGCCTATCTTATCAAAGTTGCTGTGAGAACTGATTGCAATAGAAATACTGCAACCACTTTCTTCATCTCCTCTACCTCTAGATGTCTTTCCAACCAGTTAGCTTTGACTATAGAAATAGGAATCCAGTGTGGACCTT